TCACGGATGTCGGCAACATGGAGTCCATGTCCAAGGAGCGTTGGGGCGCTGCAAAATGGATGAAAGGGCAGCCACGGCTATACTGTGTCAATGACTTTGACGCGAGCCAGGAGCCGGAGGATGATATGCCCATCGTCGCTAAACGAGCTGGACAAGTCTCCTTTATCACACACAGCCAGTTCATGAAGATGTTGGAGGCGGCATGGTATGCTAAGGAGGTGAATGAGTCCAACATCATGGCCGTCCTCAAGCGCACCCACATCCTCATCAACACCAAGACCTTCCTGTACATCAGGCCGGCGGGCGAAGACAAGCAGCCGGTTCTCCGCAAGCCGCTCAACGAGAAGACGGACTTCCTAGTGGACGAGTCGCGCGTGGTCTACGACTTCTATCGCAAAGGAGGGACCGCCTTGCCAGAGGACTTTGAGAAGAAGCTCCAGTGGGAGGAGAAGTGGATGGAAGGGGCTATTGCGATCCTTTGTGAGGAACACAAGCCTCTTCGGTCAATGAGCGCTTGGCAGAGAGCAATACAACTTCCCTGCCTTCATCCAGTTTGGGTCCAGCTCCTGCCTCCTCGTTGCCTGGATTCACTTTGGGTCCAGCTCCTGCCTCCTCGTTGCCTGGATTCACTTTGGGTACAGCCCCTGCTGAGGACAAAGCAGTCAAGCTGGAGCGAAAGGCACCTTCACCCGAAAGCTCGTGGAGACGGACCTGATCATTGACGTCTCTGACTCGCCTGTAAAGCAGAAACCCAGGACTACTCCCGCGAACTTCGAAGACGTCAAGGTGAAGATGGAGCTGCCGGACGTGTCCATGCCTCCTCCGGAAGGCGATGCGCCAGCGCGGCATGTGAGTGACCTCACTGACCCAGAAGGTGACTTGATTGAAGAGACCGAATCCATCATGGCTGAGGGCAAGGAACTGCAGGACGACTTTGAGCAGGAGCTGGAGAACATGCTGGATGAGATGGACGTTGTGGATGAGGAGTGAGGCAGTGTTGTGTGTGTAGCTCAGAATGCAGCAAACGGCTGCAGTTTTGTTAGATACATAAGAGCAGTGTTGGCACGCACAGGGCACAAAGGATCGCAAATGCAGATAGCACATCTATTGCATTTGTCCAATCTTGGCACGTGTAATTATGCTGGACACGCATTTGCTCATGAGGATGCGCGCTGAGGGCTCAAAAGTTTTGTCTTGTAGTGTGTAGCTGAATAGGTCACGAATCTGTTGACAAGATGCCGAAGCCCATCAAGAAGGTGAAGCCAGCACATCGATGGCCCGCACCAAAAAGAGGTGTTGCGCGCAGCCGGGCCCAGATGAAGAAGGCGAAGCCTATGAAGAGCACAGGCAAGAATGTACCGTATGTGCGGCACCACACCGTAATGAAGAAGTTCATCAAGAAAAAGCATCGATGGGGGATCTCCGTTGAGACGCTGCTCTCCACGAAAGGGGTCAGACTGTTGGCCTTGCTGCGCAAAGCAGGCCTTCTCCAGTCTTGGGCCGGGAAGCCATGCCCCCATTGTGGCAAAGGAAAAATGGGCTCCCTTTTCTATGAGAAGTCACGTTCATCATGGACACACAGATGCTCCCGCAAAGGTTGCCAGAGGTTTGTTCGTCCTCAGGACTTTCACCCGATCTTTTTCGGTGGATCAGGGGCAAGTGTCACTAGCTTGAATCAGCAAGCCGCAGCCCTCTGCTGCGCAGTGGCCGGTGTCCCGCAGGCTTCCGCCCACCTCATCCTGGATATGGACAACAAGCCGGTTGGCAAGATCTACCGGAACCTCGAGGTTGCCCGCGCACGGCATGTTCGCATGAAGGAAAAGGATGTGCTCTACGGCAGTCAGTGTGAATGGCCCGATGTGGAAGCTGATGAGGTTGACCTCGGCAAGGAGTTGGTCCTGGATGCGAGCAAGGCCAAATGGGAACAGTGGGGTGGTATTGTGGAGCGTGGGAGGCCTGACACTCTCATGCTCTTCAGGCTCAAGCCACGCCTTACCACGCCCAGATCGCCCGGGCCGGGTGCCATCAGGCGCAGAGACTGGGAGCCCATTGCGCGGAAGCACCTCTTGAACCGCAGTGTGGTCCTGCACGCAGATGGTGCAAGGGCCTACAAGTTGAAACTTCCAGGTGTGCTGCACGACAATGTTGCGCACAAGAAAAAGAAGATCCAGGTGAATGGAAAGAATGTGTGGGTGCGGCCACACTACACCAAGATTTGTAGCCACACACTTCCCAGCGGCAAGAAGTTGGAGGTGAAGAGCGGCACACAGATCATCGACCGGATCTGGGGGCACATTCGCAGCTACCTGAAGTACACACCCAGGAACGTCGGCAGTAAGGACCTCGAACGCAAGATCCGCTCGGCTCAGTGGACACATTGGCACAAGGACTGCAACCAATGGGAGGCAACCGGCAGCATGGTGACGGATCTGATGCAGTAGTCCCCCAATGGCGTGTAACATCGTCTCGATTTTGTAGCTGCAGGAATCGTGAGAGGTGGCGCTCGGCATAAAAGAGAAGAGCACTTGCACGTTCACCATCATCGCAATAAAAAAAGAACTCGGAAACCTTTCGGAAACCATTCACAACTTCTCACAACTTCTCGGAAGCAATTCGGACACCTCTCGGAAAACACTCGGACATCTCGGAAACCATTCACAACTTCTCACAACTTCTCGGAAACAATTCGGAAACCTCTCGGAAAACACTCGGCGCATCTCGGAAACCATTCGGACCTCAATCAGACAAGCCCGCAGCGCTGTCAGAAGCTGTAGACATGTATATGGTGTTGCTTCTAGATATATGTATACAGTCTGCTGCGTGATGAGAAGCAATATATATGGTCAGGTCTATACCCTTAAAACATGTTTTGTTTTTTCTCGAGTTGTTTTAGTTTTTTTAAATCAGAAAACCAAAAAAACTCAAGGCTTTTTTGGTTTTGGCCCTAAAACCAAAAAAACTCGAGGAAAACCAAAAAACACAAAAAAACTCGAGAAAACCAAAAAACCAAAAAACCAAAAAAAAACAAAATTCTGGGGAGAATCTTGGGTTTGGCTATTTTTTGGGGTTTTTTTGGTTTTCTCGAAGGTTTTTTGGTTTTTTATCAGAAAACCAAATAAACCCAAGGCTGTTTTGGTTTTGGCCCTGAAACCAAAAAAACCTCGAGAAAACCAAAAAGCCAAAAAAAACAAAATTCGGAGGAGAATCTTGGGTTTGGCTCATTTTTTTGGTTTTTTTGGTTTTCTCGAGGTTTTTTTGTTTTTTTTGGTTTTCCTCGAGTTTTTTGGGTTTTTTGCCAGAAAACCAAATAAACCCAAGGCTTTTTGGCTTTGGCCCTGAAACCAAAAAAAACCTCGAGAAAACCAAAAAACCAAAAAAAACAAAATTCTGAGGAGAATCTTGGGTTTGGCTCATTTTTTTGGTTTTTTTGGTTTTCTCGAGGTTTTTTTTGTTTTTTTTTGGTTTCCTCGAGTTTTTTGGTTTTTTGCCAGAAAACCAAAAAAGCCTTGTTTTTTTTGTTTTCTAGGCTCACCCACCTGGAAAACCAAAAAAGCCTTGGGTTTTTTTGGTTTTCTGATAAAAAACCAAAAAAACTCGAGGAACCCAAAAAAAAACAAAAAAACCTCGAGAAAACCAAAAAAAAAAAACAATAGCCAAACCCAAGATTCTCCCCAGAATTTTGTTTTTTTTGGTTTTTTGGTTTTCTAGAGTTTTTTTTGTTTTTTTTTTGTTTTCCTCGAGTTTTTTTTGGTTTTAGGGCCAAAACCAAAAAAGCCTTGAGTTTTTTTGGTTTTCTAGGCTCACCCACCTGGAAAACCAAAAAAGCCTTGGGTTTTTTTGGTTTTCTGATAAAAAACCAAAAAAACTCGAGGAAAACCAAAAAAAACAAAAAAACCTTCGAGAAAACCAAAAAAACCCAAAAAATAGCCAAACCCAAGATTCTCCCCAGAATTTTGGTTTTTTTGGTTTTTTGGTTTTCTCGATGTGTTTTTTGTTTTTTTGGTTTTCCTCGAGTTTTTTGAGGTTTGTCTAAAAATATAAGTTTCAAAGCATTGAAATTAGTAAAAAATGCTAAAAAAGGGAGGTTTTTTGCCACTCGTAATGGTAGGATCTGAAAAAAACGTAAAAAAACACAGTGTTTTTTGCTATTTTTCATATTTTGAACTATGTCTGCAAGAAGGCATACCAAAACGGAATCCGTTTTGTGTATTTTGTTGTTTTTATTGGCGAGAAAGCTAAAAACTATGGAAAAACACAGTGTTTTTGCAGTCTTTTATGAAGAAAGAACAAAAGGTAGTTCATGGGGGGGGACCTGACCATATATATATATATATATATATATATATACATATATATATATATATATACATACCCTCCCTTCCACTAACATATCATCTGGCAGGGTGTCCCTCCAACAGAATTTAATCATCCGGGTACCCTCCCACAGCTGCCATGTTAGTGGGAGGGAGGGTATATATATATATAGTCATGAACCCAATTAAACAGTTTCTCTAGCGGGGATGTTCTCGTGGGTTCCATGTTAGTGGGTGGTAGGGAGGGTTAAACTGGTGCTGGTGCGTTTTGTTCCTGTCCGCTGTCCTGTAACCCCCAGGATTGCCATTTCCCACTTGAGGCGTTTCAAAAAAAACTGAGTGAGTCTCACAGTCTCAAATCGAGCGACCCTCAAAATATAAGTTTACATTAAGTGGTTTGACCTCAAGCCAACCCAAAAAGGCTACTCTTTCAGAAGCAAAGCCGACACATCCAATTGCCACTGGAGATACTCCGTGAAAGCGCAGCTGCGTGTTGGTCCAGGATGCGAGGTTCTCTGGGCTTTGGGAGTCTTCATGATGTGTGCAAGGGAGAGTGTGCATGTGGGTGTGGCTTTTCTCTGCGATGTGCTTTTTGGGGTTGCTTCAAAGGGGCCCCAAAGGGAAGCCACGATTTGATTTTTTCCCACTTGAACCTGTGCGCCGGAAGGCTTTCGTCACGTGCATCAGGTGTCATTGTGGACTGCCAATACTAGGTGGACTTTGCGGATGGATGGACGCTTGTTTGAACTGAGACGTGTACTGGGTCTATTCAAGTCGCATGCTCAAAACCACCTTCAACATCGTGGTTTGAGGGGGACCCATCCCAAAACCTTGTATGGAAGTCTCATGTTTGTTTGCTTTGAGGGACCCAGGAGTATTGTCGGATCAGGAAGCAAGGCGTCAATATGCTTCGCCGCAGCGTTGCCGTGCACAGAGTGTCATGTGGCCAAATCCCACAAAATCCATCACCAAGGTGGAGTCGAGACGCACACAGGTTGCGCTGCTTGCATGCAGTTGGAGTCACATGGCAGGGAGAACGTTAAGCGAATCAGAAGGGCGATGTGGGCGTGTCTTGAAATTGGAGACCCCTCACAATGGTGGTTGTCTCTTTCAGTGTCCTTCACAACCACCCCCAAAACGGACCCCCCCAAAAGTCGACACCTCAATGTGAGCATGCTGGTTTCATATATCGCCATCGCTTTATTTGGCCTGCTTGGATGTGTCATTGCTGGTGTGGCGTGCCGTTGCCGTTTGAGAGCGTATTTGAGGCTCAAAAACAGCGCCCGGGTTGTGAACGCGAACCTGAAGGAAACCACTCCTTAGGAATTAAGGTTTTTTTCGCTTTCTGATTGGTCCATAGGTGGGTGGTGGACCCCTCCAACTGCCTGGTTGGTTTCCTGGGCTCTCTTTTGCCTCCCGAGGACTACAAGTGCAACCAGGCGCGCTACACGAAACCACGGGTCTACTCCAAGTGCCAAACCTGGGAAGACATGCGAGTGCCTCGGCTCGGTGCTTTGAACCCAATGATTCTAGGCACTCACCGCCTGGATGGTGCGCCCAAGTGCCAGCACCCGACTTCCCAGTGGCCAGTGGATAGATTTTTCCAAAGACTCTAGGCGTACCTTCCAGTTCCATTCTTTCCAGGCATCCTTCTTTCCAAAAAAACAACCCCTGGGGAAACGGATCTGGTTTTTGAACTGAAGGATGGTTTAAAAGAATGGACAAGGAATCAACCCCGAGAACGGGGCAAGCTCCCTGGGCGGGGACTGTGGACATGTGTTCTTCAGGTGGAAGTCCTGTTCTTGTACAAATCGGGAACCCCCGAAACCACCAAACAACCAATCTAAATCGCCAATTGAAGGGAGGCTGAAAAGGGTTGGTTTCCTTGCAGTTTCTGCCATTAAAGAAGCAACCAAGGGGGTCCCTAAAAGACACAGACCCATATATGACGTGCCGTGGTGATCAGACGCGCTTACTCAGTATGGATGGTCATGGACCCTTTAGTAGGGAATCTAGACAACCCTTACGAGGAGTTTTGGCCATGGCAAGTAAAACAATTAAAGTTCATGGTTGGAATCTTGGAACTGAATCCGCATGCAAATGATGTCGACGAGAGCCGGAAAGCCGGTCAAAAAAGCGAAGGGGTGCTTGGGACGCGGGTGACATGGGGCTGACATTTGCTTTATATATACTTTTCGGGAGGTTAACCCATTTGGGGTGGTTTGAATTATATAAACCAAAAGGACAACCACCATTTTGGAGGTTCCTTAAAACAAAATGGCAGCTTCCAAGGTCGATGCCAAAGAAAGGCAGTCCCAAAGCCGCTCTGTGACTGTTGTGCGGCTACATCTTCTCAGCCGGCTTTCCAGCAGGAAAACCACAGAACATCCAAAGAGCATCCAAAGAACATTCAAGGGAACCACAAGACATCCCAGAAAATTCAAGAAAAACTACAAGAAATCCGAGGACCCATCCAGGATTGCCAGAGGACAACCTCAACTCAGTTGTCCAAAGCCAACCTTTTGACCTCTTGGTTTTCCTGTGGTCCAGCTTTAGTCATGGCCCCAAAAGGTGAACCTTTCAATTCCAGGTCCTTTGGGCAAGTTTGCCAAGAAATCCCGGAAGAAACAATAATTCCAAGCACCCCCCAAGCGCGAATCCCAGAAAATCCAAGGACAACTACCAGAAATCCCACGGAATCCCAGGAAACCCAAGAACACATCACCAGAAATCCGAGAAAAAAGACTCGCGAAACCCAGAGGAAAATCACCAGAACTCCCCAAAAAACCCGGGTTTCCTGTCCTGGAAATGGGGTTTTCGGGTCCAAGGACTGGGCTCCCCAGCTCTGCAGCGTGGGAGTGGGCAGCCGCGCAGAGTTCTTGGTCACCACCACCACACGCGCGCCGCGCGGCGCAAAGACGACAGAACACGCCGGCGGCGGCGTTTCCCCGGCGGGTAAAAAGGAGGGATATGTGAGTTGTTTGATAATTAATTATTTATAATACCTATATATAATATGCATATATATATATATAATGCACATATATATATATATATAGCCGCTTTGCAAACCGGAACATATGTCTGTTGGGGTACAACATTGAATGTGGCATGAATGTTTAGCACAAAGCTTGAGAATTGGACATGGCAGCTATCGACCTAGGCCACAGCAAAGCAGCAAAACAGCAAAACAGCATCCGTTGGAACCAGTCCTAGGCATGCACCGGCGCCCAAACATGTGTATATCTTATCTTTTAATATTAAATCTTCATCATAATTAGTTCATATATATATATATATAATTATATTTTTGTGGTCCCCTAAGTATCGGTCACGGGCCATCTCAAAACGGCCGGTTTTTTTGAGGTGAAAAAAAAAACAGTGGTTCGACCCGGTTCGACCCTGTGGTCTGGTACCTTTCGAGTGCATTTTTCTCGTGGCCCCAATAGATCCAGCAGGGTTCCTGGGAGACCATTTCTTGGGTGACACCTGTGCCGGTTCCTTGTTGGTTTGTGCTGAGGGTACAGAAATGCGCCATTATTGGGTCTGTGATTTTTTGTTGACATGGTTGGAGTAGGACAATTCCAACGGGTACCCCCCCGAAAAGAAAAAAATGTGTCCAAAGCGAATCGACCTTTTGGTTTCCCAATTGTGGTTTCACAATTTTGGTTTCCCCCAAGGGTGCACCTCATATTTCCGGGTCCTTTGGGCAACTGAGTTTGTTGAGGTCCAGAAATGTGCCAGAATGAGTCTGTGATTTTTTGAAATGGTTAAGGAAACTCCAACCGGTACCCTCCCAAAAACAAACATAGATCCACCGGGATTCCTGGAAGACCATGTTCCTTGCGAGGTGACACCTGTGCAGGCTCCTTGTTGGTTTTTGTTGCGGGTACTCTTTTTGGGGGTGGGTTTAACGTGAGACCAAAACACCGAAAACACATTCCCAAATCGGGCGTGCCTTTCTCTCCAGGCGAGCCGCTAAAGAAAAGTGTAGCCAGCACATAGTACAGCCAGACTTTACATAGTTTCCTTCGGGCGCTATAGTTGCGTGCCCAGAAGCGAAAATCACTGCTGCTTTTTGCCCGCATTGCGTTATTTGTGTGAATGTGACTTGGAGGTGGGAACTTCTCAAAATAGCGCCGACAATGAAGGTGAACAGGGTACCCTCAAAGAGGGGTTGTCACAAAATGCGGTTGGGTTGTCTTTTTGTGTTCAGTCAAACCTAGCACGGGAGTTCCCCGAAAAGACACGCCCCAGTGCCAGCCTGCACTTTCAGATGCGCTTGGCAAACGCACACGTTTGCAGAGGCCGGCGCAATCTGGTTCAATTCCACCCTTAAACTTCAACTTCTTGTGGGTCATATAAACGGCCAACCCAAAAAACGCGGAGCGGCACATTTTTGTGCTCAGCGAGGCCAACTGCTTACGATGAGGACGGCTACGTTGATGGACAGCTGCCTGGCGGGAATCGACTACATGTCGCCTGCCTGTTTCGGGCGTATGCCATTGAAAGGACATGGGTCAAAACTTGAAAAATCTGAATGCTGGGACCAGGCATCTTCAAAGATGTTGGAACAACTTCGGCAAATGTGCATACTAATATATATACGCAAAGGCACAAATGGCTCTCACACACACATGCACGCACGCGTGCACGCACGCACGCGTGCCGGCGCAAATACGCAAACCGACAAATATCACACGAACACAGGCCCGCACACGCGCACGCAAGCAGGCACACACAGATGCAAACACAAACGCACTAACACGTTTATAAATATTATACAAGAAACAAATGTACATGCACACAACACAGAAATACAAAACAAATCCAACAAACAAACACACACACGGAAACACAACAAAAGACATTCATTTATATGCACAGTTACATACAGACACACACGCGCTTGCACAAACACACACACACACACACACACACACACACACACACACACACACACACACACACACACACACACACACACACACACACACACACACACACACACACACACACACACACACACACACACACACACACACACACACACACACACACACACACACACACACACACACACACACACACACACACACACACACACACACACACACACACACACACACACACACACACACACACACACACACACACACACACACACACACACACACACACACACACACACACACACACACACACACACACACACACACACACACACACACACACACACAGACACAGCGTTCACACACACACACACACGCACAAACACAAGCACAAGCACAAACACAAGCACAAGCACAAACACAAGCACAAACACAAACGCAAGCACACGTACACACACAGACACGCACCCGCGCGCGCAAACACAGAGACAAGGCACGGACACGCGCACACAGTGCTTGCCTCCAGCTTGAAGTCCTGGTTGTGCCGGGAGACAACCGCCTCAGCTAAGCCGCAGACAGATGTGCTCCAAGGTATACGGGTGGTGAGTACAACTTTGAGAAGGAGAGCAACCCGAACGTGTTTGTGAAGCTCGCCGGACCAGTGTCGCTGTTGTCACAGTCAGCATGGAGTTGGCAGGAGGGTGGGCATGCATCAGGGCTGCAGTGCAAATGGGCGTGCGTCAGATCTTATGTTGAAATCAGTTATGGGTATTCATCTCTGTGTGTGTCTTATTGTTGTTTCTGTTGCAGCTTTGTGTACAGTTTTGGGACTGTGTAACTGTGTGTTGCTGTTTGTGCTTGTGTTTGTGTTTTTGTTTTGGTTTGTGCGTGCGCGCGTTTGTGCTTGTGTGTTGCATGATATTATTTTGCGTGAGTGTTCTAGTTCTTCTGTGTTGGTGTCATCGTGTGCATATACATCTTTATTTATGTGTACACATATATATATATATATGTGTATATATGTATCCATATACATATACACCTTAACAGGGAAGAATATGCGCCTTGCATAGATGTTGCCGCATTCCCGCAGCCAAGGAACCCGAACTCGGACAAGCAGGGTCCGCCGGTGCCACCCAATACCCAGCAGATTTCAACCTACAAACCCTACGAGCCGCTGACTTAGTTGCATGCGCGATCTCAAAGCGGTACACTTGTGCAGCCCATCAGATGTATTGAGAGCACAGTCTGTCTGTCTATTCCAGCTTTCACGCACTTGGTCCTTCCATTGGCCAATGCCTTGCGCACCTGTGTCTACGAGGAGTCGAGCAGCAAGTCACCACTTGGTCACGAAAATCGTGATCCTACATGACGTGCCAAGCGGTTGGTGGTACAAAATAGAGTTTCTTCAGTGTTTGGGACCTCTAGGTTCGGAGCGCCCACCACAACTGTCACGCCCTTCTTTACTCGCACCTCCACCAGCGCCGCTCGGCCAAGTGATCTTGTTTCGGCGAAATCGGCGCGTGAAGTGGCCTTGGTCGTTCTTGGTCGTCAAAACAAGTGCAACAAGAGGATCACACATCCCCATTTAGGGTAGCCTTGCAGGGAAACCGACAGGATACCAACTTGCGGTCCAGCACTCCTCAAAAATTGTGCATTGCCCGAGCAATGCTGTGCAGCGTCGGAATCTGGGAAAAAGGAACATGTCGGGTCTGTGTGGTTTTCAAGGGAAGGCTTTCTGCTGAGTAAATAGCAAGGGCCCCCTCCTCCGCCCTTCAAAGGTCGAGGTTTGGGCAAGACTCAACCCAGATGTTTTGGACCGATTCATCGGGAGCCCCTGGTCCTCCTTTCACTGGCCCCTTTTTGGCCGATTGAACTGGAAACAGAGGACTTGCCTTGGCCGGGCAAGCCCGTTGATGGCGACAGCAATTGGTTTTGAGCCCTCAGACGGGCCCTGATTTGGGGTTTGCTGAGGGATCAGGCCTCTAAGGCTCCCTGCGAGCTTGAACGCCTTGTCACGTGCGAACCTTAGCAGGGCAACAGCATTTTTGGAAAACCTTCGGGTTTTTTTGTGGCTTGGATTGATGGGTTTAAGCGCAAGAAAATACAGGGCAACCCCTTGTTCGCAGCTTGGGGGGCTGCAAGAGGGTACCTTTCATCGGGGGTTTTGGGTGGTCCCAATAAAATGAGTGGGTAGGGTTTTCTTGGCTGCTGCTGCGGCAAGCCTTGCTGGCTCTTTACTTTTGTGTTGGTGAGGTAGCCCTTGGTTCGGATTGGTGGGACTTGGGGTCAAAATTAAATCACCAGGAATTGGACCGCAGGTTTTAAAACCCGTGTTTTTCCATTTACCGATCGGGCAACCCATCGTGGGGGTACCCGAGTTTTGACCGCAGGGGTGGGGGGGGGGTAGTTTTTGTTTTGTTCCCCCGGTGTGAAGATGGTATGCTTGCTTGCCCCAAGACTGGCCTTCTTGACCTTTTTTGGGGTCGTGTTGGTCTATTTCATAAGTGGCCCCAGAAGGTGAACTGGTTATTGTCGCGCCATTTGGCCCAGCGAGTGTGTCTGTGTGGCTTGGTGTGTGGGTAGCTTTGTGGGTAGACTCCGACCCAAGGAAAGCCGCGGAGGTGGGGGGAGCCCTACGGATGTGACTGGTTTTTGGGAGGGGCATATGCCCCATGTTGTGGGAAACGTGTAAAAAGTAGCTTCCAGGGCACACATCTTCAACTTGGAGAACCATGCCCTGTGAACATCGTGTCTCGTGTGGGGCAGCCGTAACTTCAGTGAAGTTGGAGGGCAACCATGGCAAAAGCAACCTGTGGGGGGGTGTTTCCAAGAAACGGAAAGGATGCCAGCATTCTTGCAGGTTTAACCCATGTGCATTTACTTTGGACGACTTTGTTTGTCGGGGGAATCCCCACCTGGGTAAGGCCCACGTAGGCATTACTGAGGGGCTCTGTGGGGGGGGCTGTCCTAGAAGAACTTGGGCTTGGCATTGGCGGTCGGTCCGAGCCAAGTTCACGACCACCCAAGTTGGCTTCGGCACAACGGAGGCCGGGGCCCGCCGTGTCGCCAAGAAGACTTGCACAAAGCACGCTGATTGAGGCGTTTGGATTTTTATTTTCCCAGTTTGGGTGAGGCTTTTGGGTTTTTTCTCCCAGTTTGGGTGAGGCTTTTCCCATTTTGAGGCTTTTGGGTTTTTTCCCGGTTTGGGTGTAGTCAAGGTGCCAAAAAGATGATCTTTGACTCCGGTCCCTTGCAGAAAGAGTCTTTGGTGCCCTGGCAGCTTGTCTTGGGAATGTGATGATCAACACGTGAAAACGGTGGAGCTTTAGACTGGTCATTCAGTAGGCTGCCGCAGGTGAGCTTTTGCCCAATGCATTCTGCTGGCCGTGTTTTCCATCTAACTGTGATCCTGCTACCTGCAGATCATTAAGGTGATTCAGTTTTTTTTGTTTCAAGAGATGGAGATGCCAGGTAGACGTGCAAGGCTTGGCTAAGGTCGGAAATCAGGCGGCCCTCTTTGGAGCCATCAGCAGAAGGTCTTCATAGGCTTTTACGGTTGCCTCTATCCAAGCGCCAAGAGGTGAAACATGACGTCTTTGACCCCTGCACTTGAGCCACACTAAAAACCTGGGTAGATGAAGGTCAGTAATGGATACTCCGAGCCACAAATAGCTGCGGCCGCCTTCTTATTTCTTTACATGGTTCTGGGTAGATTCTGACTCATTTGTTCAAAAGGACATGGTGGTTGATCAATATTCCTGGCCCCCAAATGACCCTGGGTAACTTGTCCCATTTAAGTGGGAAATATCATTTTGTTTAATGGTCATTCCATGTAAAGGACCTTTTGATCAACCCCCACATGATTCAATTTTAGGGGGCTGATTCCTTGTCAAGTCGTTCTGAGATGTCACCACAACATAAGCCATACATATATATATATATATATGTATATGTCTCAACATGGACCAATTTGCGATGGTCTTTAACGGACACCCGTAAGAAATCCAGTTAAAGGGTTCCAGTCCCATGTGTTGGGTACCCATGTACCATGTACTGGCTACCTTGGGGAAGCCCTTTTGTCCCTTTGCACATCTATCACTTTCCCATTTTCCGGACTTCAAATTGTGAAAGAACATTGTGATAGTGTGTTTGATACGTTCTGTTTGTTGAATCAGTGCGTGGCTATCGATATTCAAAGTCTGAGGTTGTTCATCGCATCCATGATATGCAGTCATTGTTAAAGTGTCAAGAAGTGAGACAGATGGATATGATGTTCAATGGGGTGTTTTGAGCGTGGTTGGTGGACATATTCTCCCCACCTAGATGTCTACCAAGGGGTCCCCACTGAGAATAGCATCCAGATATGTCGAGTCGCGCTCCGGAGATGACACCGGTGCCTTTGGAGACGACGCCCATCCTGGGGGCGGTGTGGTGTGAGCAGCCCACGTGGCAGGCGGGCGGCCGGCGGCCCCTTTGAAAGGCGGCGGGCGGCACCAAGGTCCGAAAAAGGGCCGCATTGTTGACCCCCCCCTTTGATGTGGTAAATTACTCACGAAATTGGGGGGAATTTGAGGTAAATTGGTGGTAAAGAGTTACTGCTACAGGCAAGGCTTAAAGTATACCCCATCAAACCATTTGAGCCGGAGCCAAACAAAAAGAGAGTGGAGTTGAGGGGGAAGGGAATCCCAAGCCGTGGTTTTGTGTGAACAAATGATACTGGTTGAGCATGACTTCCGAATGTCATACTCAGATCAATCCTGGAGATGTTTATTTTGTTTGAGGTAAATATCCCTTTTTGGCTGTTTGAAAGGGAAGCCAAAAGGAAACCATTATCGTCCTTAAACAAGACACACCCACGGCCATTGGAGATGTCAGTCCCGGAGATTTCACATTGCACTGGTGAGGATAGACTTGAAGCAATGGGGCCAATCATCTTTCGGGCAGAACAGACATTGGCGTTCGACTTGAAGATCTTCAACCAAAACAAGTGAGTGTACAAGAACCAAGGCAGCTCTGCCAATCCGAATCCAGCAGAAATGTTCACCGTGCTTGAACCGCAAAGCTTCGTGAGATTTCAATCCGACCTAAACCTGCGCCTTGCTAGGCAGGCGACGAGTTGAGGCATGGACAGATTTAGGAAAGCACATGCGACTCGCAGATCGAGAAGAAGATGTAGCCATGAGACACGCTGCACGTGATCATGGAAAGCCTGATTTGCAGGTAGACTCTATTTGCAGAGAAATGGAGAGGGATAAAGAGGGCTAGCTAAGTGGGAATATCATAGTGGGCTTCTCATCGGGGCATGTGATCCCTTTCAAAGCACACCTAAAACTTGGCAACACAACTTGCTACCTGAAACCGAAAGCCAACACATCCAACGTCCGATGCCCAAATGCTCGCATCAGCAAGTACAAGTTGATACCATTTGAATCAGTCATATTGTGCTTTCTCCCTCAGGGTTTGGGAGCGGTAAATTCCCTTGTCGCTTGCATTGTCGGAAAGTATCACGACAAATGATCACAGATTCGGAAGGCTTTGATCCCTGGTGATCTCGAACGGAAGTATCGAATGAACTATAATGAAATCACAGTACCTTTCAAGCCAATCCAACCAAGGGTTTGGTACTTGAATCTTCTTGGCCCTTCATCGGCTAAGCTCATGCGCGTTTGGCAAACGGCTGGCAGGAAAGAGCTACAGCGCCCTATACCGACTGGGCCGCTCAGACACACATGGCTGCAAATTGAAGTGGTAGGTGCACTTGGACAGACTGCCAGAGGGCGCCAGAGGGTGAA